TAGCCGGGACTGCAGGGTGGGAGAGGGGCAGCTTCGCTGTGAGGCTGGGGGAGCGGCAGGACCCTTCGCGTCGCTGAGTAGTTTGGAAAGTTTTCTTTAAAAAGTCACCCAGTGGAGCTTTTGGGGTGACTTCCCTCTTCCTGAGCTCCCCAAAACAGGACAACTGTCATTCGGTGTCAGGGAATCTTCCCTTCCCCTTCTGTTGTCGCTGTTTTCTCCAGCGGGAGGTAGAGCCGGATGTTGCCATCGCCGCTCGGCTCCGCTCCCCCCCAGCCTTGCTTGGCTCCAATAGGAATGCCAAAAGCTTCATGATATGGCTCGCAGACAACTCCCACAAACAAAAAGATACCGTAGCACGATGCTGCGGTTGTAATTCCTAATTGAAACCGTGCAGATTTCGGAAATTCGGAGTCTCAGTGGCTGACGATTTGCACCTCCTGTTAGAGAAATGTCCTCACACTTCAAGCAGAAATGGTTTGAAATGGGGTGTGAGCTCTGGAGGGCTTGTCTTTGATTTGATGTTGCCTTTCTTTTTAGCATGAGTCTCTCACGTTGTCTTCTGACAGCACCGACTGCTGCGATAAAAGTCACTTTCATATAGTAGAAAAAATGATTCTTGAAGAATTGCCCAGCCTGAGAACAAGCCTAGGCATTTAGCCAGCAACAGAGTCACGTATTTTGCACTTTTAAATTCTTATTTGTCTGTGGATTTTTTTGTGAGACAAGATACCAGGGAATAGTGAAGAAAAAAAAAAAAAGAAAAAAGCCAACCTGCTAGTCTTTAACATGGAAAGTAATGTCAGTATCTTTTACCTTTAACTCAAAACTAACTGAAAAAAAAAGTATTTTGTCCATAATTTCTTTAACAACAACAACAAAAAAGGTAATACTCTGATTTACTGCACAGCTGTGAATGGAACAGATTTCAGTAGATACTGGCATATCCCAAGAGTTACAGCACAGAACTAAGCTAAATAGCTTAGTGTTGCTTAAGTGTTGGAGATTTATTTTTTTTTCTACTGTATTGGTAATAATTCTTAGTATTTACTAGTTAAATAAATTGCCATTATGCCCTCTAGAAATAAAAAACAGTTTACAATTGCTAAGTATTAACATTACATTATAACTTGGCCATGTATTTAATTGTGCAGTTAATGACATACTTGTTTCTTCCACAATAACATTTGGCTACTATTTGCAATTATGTAGTGTTCTTAGTAGGAGGTTTCCTGTAGACATACTTTAAAATGAATGTTTCTTAGCAGTTGGGGAAGAGACACCAAAGACTGAATTGGCAGGAGTGTAATCTTCTCTCTCACCAAATCCTTCCTGGTGAGGAAGTTCTTAACACATCACGT